GAATGGAAGCTGGATGGGAGGTGGATGGGAAGTGGATGGGAGTTGTATGGGACGTGCATGGGGTGGTGGATGGGAGGTGGAGGCGTGGGTGCGAGGTGGATGGGAGGTGGAGGCGTGGGTGGGAAGCGGATATAACGTGGATGTGTGGATGGAACGTGAATGGGAGGTGGACGCCTGATGGAGGCCCCAACGGCTGAGCACGGACCAGAGGCTGTGGCTTTTGAACTATGGGTCACTATCAGCTCCCCAGCCACCGTGGCGAGCCGAGGCTCCCGAATGCTCCGCGGAGGCTCAGCTTGCTTGGTGCGTGAGCGTGTATCCGCGGAGCAACAGATGCATTACAGGCCACCCTGACTGACGAATCACGTGCGCCAAGTACGGGAAATGCGGGTAATGTCGGGCAGCTGCTGATGCTGGATGCTTGTTTCCTCATTAGAGAGAGTTCTTTGGGGTCGGGAACATAATTTTAGTTGGAAATCAACGCGCGTTGCAATGTTTACGTTCATGAACATTATCACAAGGGCGTGACAATGCCTTGGATTTTCAACTGCACGTAGCCCACTGAGGCTATCTTCCGCCGTGTTCATCATTCAATGGCTAAATATGAACGGTGCGAAAAAAGGGGCACGATCAAGAGATCGCTACTAGCCCGAGATCAGTGCAAGAAGACGGTCATACCTGTTCAGTCAATATCTTTATACGCTAGCGCTTGCGAGGGGGATAAATCACGTTTGTTTTGGGACAGTCTCTGCGGAACTCAGGTCGAGATAAGTCACGAAGATGGATGAGAAAATCATCGAAGGTGTTTCAGTCGCCCTGAACTCTACCGTTAAAGCGCTTCCTATCAAGGACTTCGTTCATCTGCCCAAGGCGCAGGCCTTCGGGTGTTGAAGCACGGCAGTCATGTCCTGTCGCTCCGCGTCTTATCGCGGCAGATCTCAGACGACTTGGTTCGTCCATTCGAACCGGCTCGAACCGGTTCGTGTCGTTAGTCAGTCACGATCGGACGAAGGCCGTTTGGGTCCCTTGCTCCAAGTTGCCAACACCGGTGAGTAGGTAGAAGTCCTCCCGTCCGACAGTCCACGCGTGAAGTGCGTCGCTGCGGCCTGTAGCGACGTTTGGCCGAGCTGGCTGGGCCGTCTTACCGAGCCACAGGTTTCATTTGCCAGCTGCACTTCCACCAGTACGCCGGCCTTCGGTGCAAACTCTGCGTCACTCGGCGTCGTCACGCCGCGGCGCAACACGAAAGTGACCCGATGCAGAAGTGCTGGACGCACCATGTGGTGATGAGGGTGCCGGTAGCGTTGTGGTTGACGCGCCTGCGCTAACCACTGCGCGACTGGGAAACCAGGCGTACGTGGTTCCTTTTCCGGCGGTGCCCGCCCTTCCTGCCGGGTTGAGAGGCAGGCGGCGCCATATGTCCTCAGCAGCTGAGTGCGTCGTAAAGCCCCAATGACAACACCATGCGGTGATCTATAGTCGCCTATGGGCATATGGATATATAGATCACGGGCTGTGAAGCTGATGGCCGTGCGGCCTAATTATACACCGTGTGCACATGGGGGAAAAATACGTGTCTTGTACTGTGTGTGCTGCGCTGTGTGTCAATCGAAGGCTCAAAGTTAAAGCCAGTGAGCTCAGCCAGAAGGCAAGAGAGTCTGGGTCCAGCCGCACGTCCAGCATGGAATTTCTGGCTGGCTCTCCGACGACCGCAAGGCCGCGTTGCCCGTTGGCAAAGGTCAGCCTACCTCAGTCGCTACCTATGACGTCGTAAGTGCCTACGTCACACACAAGCGACTATCCTCCAACCGCGGGAATGGTTGTGACGCCTTCACCTCTGGCGTTATAAGTTGCAATCTGTGGGCGGCGTTTCACAAAGGGGAACGCGGCCCACCCGCCGGGCCAACAGCCGGCGGCGGCGTTCACATGACTAGGGTCAGCAGCGGCCCGTATTACCGGGTACCACTCGCACAGTGGCCTTTGACCCAATCCAAGGTCACATGTACTGGAGAGGACTGGCTATCAACCAAGCGTCATCAAATGCCACAAGATTGGTGTCGATCGGTCGCATAAGCGCGGAATGTAGGATAGTCAGCACATTTTGTTGGTTTTTTAGTTCTTTGCGCGATTGCACCATAAATGTATCGGCTGCGTCAGGTCTAACGCGGATTTGAAATGAATGCACAGGTGAGTTGGAGACGCGTTGGGGCAGGCATTGGAGCACGGAGGTCGGGACCAGTGCGGGTGCCGGGGCTAGGGCTATCCAGAAGTTGTTAGCAACGTGATAAATACCTGCATAGTAAGTGGCTTTAACCGCTGTGACACAGCCTACATAGCTGATGTGGGCTGAGCCTTCACGGGGTGGGACACAGCAAGGGGTGGGTGGCATTCCATCAGCGTAGTTTGTCGGTGGCAAAACTGAGCCAAATATGTTTTGGTGACATAATAAGGCGAATCGCATGAATTAATGCAATGGGTTCACTGATGCAAGTGTAGGATGTCCACTTATGCCAGTTGTATGCAATTCAAGCTCGAAATAATTGACAACCTTTGAAAATGCATATGACATTTCAGTACTATGCCCAAGTACAATATGTGTTGTAGAATCACTTTGAAGGCAACAACCTAGGTCAGTTATTGTCTGCCAAAATGGGCTAGCTAGGGTAGTGTAGGAGTACCATATTATGCCATTGCAAGCTGAAACATATTGTATTAAAAACACATGCATGGTATGAGACAAAGTGTACTGTGCATCCACGTCCAAGCTGCATAGTACAATTGTGTTCAGTCATGAAGGACAAAACATTCTATGCACAGTTAAGCAGGGGTGGGCAGGGCTGGTTTTCCACAAACATTAGCCTGTAGCTTTGCATGGGGGGAATCCAGCATCCGTTATGTGTGAGCAACTCAGGATGATGAAATTCCAACAGCATCTCCCAGATAGGACCAGGCAGCAAGCCTCTAACAGGTCAGGAGTGGTAGTAAGTAGTTCCAGCATCTGTATGGGATATAAACAGTTTGTCACTTATTAAAGATAGGATGACTCAGCTCTCAAAGGGCAATCTAGCTGATATGTTCCCAATGAGCATTGGTTGAACCATCAAGTTTTAATAATGTGACCAATGTTTGTGTGATGACATTGCTTAACCAGTATGTCCTGATATTCTGGAAGCTGATTATTGTCATGTGTGATGACTAGCCACATGCCACTGTACATGAATGGCAGTAAGTTCACTGGTGGACAGTGCATCACTTAAATCACATGCTGTGTGAAGTTGCCAGTATACACTGTCCATTGCCAGACAAAGGCTGGTAGCTTAAGTGGAAAACAGGCCACCATTCTATCAAATGATGTTGTATAAACCATTCAGAAATGGTGTTGCTGTTGTAAGGGCTATGTCTGGGACAAAGTGTGTGCTGATTGTTGTCAATGTCATTGGGGCTTTACAAAACACCCAACTGCTGAGGCTATATGGTGTCACCTGCATCCTGCCTCACACCCTGAGAGGAAGAGCAGGCATAACCAGAAATCAAATGCAGTACCTCTGGTTTCCCAGATGTGTACATGTTGACATGGACACATTAATCACTACCTTATTGGCACCCCATAATGCACAGTAGTCATATGTAATAGCCTTATTCCTTGGAGAAGAAACAGCAGACCCAATGAGACCAGTCCAGACCCAATGGAGATATTGGGTCTGGTTTTTTGCTGAGGAATAAAGATGTTACTACTGTCTTATCCATGTGAATCATGTTCCTTGCAAATGCACTTAAAACTTGTGTTTACACCTTAGGCATTTTAAAGCCTTGAGTGCCTTGGGTGCCGCATTGGGTGTTGCCTTGGGTGCATAAATTCTGACATCAGTGGGCTACCGTGTTTGCAGTGGCCGGAGATGGACGGCCAGAAGTTCTGCCTCAAGTGGGATGGCTTCCAGGGCAGCGTGACATCCCTGTTTGACCAGCTGCGGCTGGGCCAGGAGCTGGTGGACATCACGCTCTGCTGCGAGGGCCAGCAGGTGCGCGCGCACCGTCTGGTACTCTCAGCCTGCAGCCCCTACTTCCGCGACCTGCTCAAGGTGAATACGTCGCCACCAGTGTGGTGGTAGCGGGACTGAAGAGACTGATGAGATGGTGTGATGAGGTGGTGATCGATTGCGGGAGAAGCGGCCTCAGCAGCCCCCCAAACATCATCCAGAAGCTGAGGTCAGTTAGCGAACGTCATGGCGTGTTGTAGCGGGATGTCCGACCTCTGGAAGTTGCCAGTAACGGGAGTGCGTGCTTGAAAATTACTGCAGGCTCCCTTATCGCATGAGTAATTTCGCCACAACACAACCCGAACCCCACTGGACGCTACGATGGGATGGAAGACGGACTGGACTTAGCTTATCAACTTCCAAACAATTATCATCTTCCAAAACTATCATCATCATCTATGAAACAAACCTTGTGTTGTGTTCGCGAGGCTCGCAAGTGCCACAGCCTTATCAATTTCCGAACAATTATCACCTATGAAACAAACCTTGTGTTGTGTTCGCGAGGCCCACGAGTGCCACAGCCTTATCAATTTCCGAACAATTATCATCTATGAAACAAACCTTGCGTTGTGTTCGCGAGGCTCGCGAGTGCCACAGCATTCCCTAACATTGTCATGAATGTACTTGTCTGGAATCGCGCGGTAAAGCTCTAAGGAATGGAACAAGTTCATTGATCTAGGACTAATGCATGGATTGAACGGGAATCGGTCCAAAAGTTTAAACACCAATCGATTAGCTTTGGATTGAGCTTAAAATTGTCCCCACAAAGGTTGAAACGCGTCGTGTCACTGCTATCAAAATGTGTGCACAAGAATCCACCGATTCCATTTCTTACCATGCTAATTTTGAAGGCACGTGGGTGTCACGTGATTGGCCGAGCTGTGTGCCGGGCCAGAATCCGCAACAGGGATTACTCCGAGAGTGATTCAGGAACTGGTTTACGGTTTCAATGGATACCGAAGATCTGAAAGGGGTGACACTTTTGCGCCTTGTCTTCGGTCTCCAATTTATGCCAGCATGAAGCACTACCACATGGTCCTCACCCGCCATGTTGCTTGTGTTACCGCCGAAAATGTAGACTTATTGCGGCACGGGGAAAATATAAAACGTTTGAAGAATTGAGATAAATCAGGACTCTGCTTCACTTTTTTATCGAAAGTTCTTTAATGAAACTGTTTTGTGAAATGATCCTGTTAAGACGGAAGCTTGTATGAAAACACCAATGGCAACTTACAGGCCATTTAATTTGTTTTTTCGTTGTCGGTGTCCATAGAATACACTGTGGAGGGGGGGGGGGGGGGGGTCCGCTTCTGCTTGTGGATGCTTAGGCATCCACAAAGAAATAGCAAACCACCCTCTGCTGCTGGTCGTGATATGGCCAGATATCACGGACTCGCTGTACAGCTGACATCAGTGGTGTGAGAAAGGAAGATGTATTTATGTGCGTAACAGCCACATGGCGACAAGGGCATACTGAAACATAAACCAACTTTCAATGGGTGGTGTAATGATCAAATGGTGATCTTCATCAAGGAATCATCGATAGCATGCATCGATTCATTCATTGATAGCATGTATTGATTCATTCATTGATGGCATATATTGATTTATTCATTGATGGCATGTGTTGATTCGTCCGTCAATCAAGGCTGAATCAATGTCACACAGTAGCCACGATAGTGAGATCATGAACACCTGCGTGCGATCTTCTGTTCCAGAACAACCCGTGTCAGCACATGCTGCTATTCCTGAAGGACACATCTCCTGCCGACCTACGGGCCATCATCGAGTTCATGTACAAGGGCAGCGTCAACGTGGCGCAGAGCCAGCTGGCCAGCTTCATCAAGACGGCGGAGATGCTGCAGATCAGGGGCCTGAGCGGCGACGACGAGAAGGTGGGCGCCCCCCCCCCCCCCCCTCCCCCAGCAACCCCCCTCACGTGCGGGTGTTAGTGCACCACGCACGCCCCAGGCGACCGAGCTCGACACGGCGCTGGTTTTGACGCCAATGTTGACGATGTCGACGCGCTGGTGGGACGACGCCAGGCGGGATTTATTGCGGGGACTGCTTCGCCAACCTCAAGCCTAAAGCAGGCGAATCGATTTGGCTGCGGGTGCGCGGGACTGGCGCGGGACATGTGCCGCCTGTTCGGGCCGCAACACGGTCTCTGCCGCCGGGGCGGACCCGGTCGGTGACGCTGCCGTCGGCGCGTTGTACGCACCTGACGCGAGCGCGTGCGCACCTGACGCAAGCTCAAGTGCACCTGACGCGAGCTCGAGTGCACCTGACGCGAGCTCGTGCGCATCTGACGCGAGCTCGTGCGCATCTGACTCGAGCTCAAGTGCACCTGACGCGAGCTCGTGCGCATCTGACGCGAGCTCGTGCGCACCTGACTCGAGCTCAAGTGCACCTGACGCGAGCTCGTGCGCACCTGGCGCAAGCTCAAGTGCACCTGACGCGAGCTCGTGCGCACCTGACGCAAGCTCAAGTGCACCTGACGCGAGCTCGCGCGCACCTGACGCGAGCTCTTGCTGACCGCTGACCGGCTCCGTTGTCCGGCAGCCGCCGCCGACGCCACCACCACCGCCGCGTCCGCCGGTGTCGTCCGCGTCGCCGCCGCTGTTCAGGATGCGGTCAGGCGCGACGGGCTCCCCACAGGCGGCCAAGCGTCGCCGCCTGTCGGGGTCGGAGCCTGCGGCGAGCCCGACCGGCTCGCGGGCGCCGCCGCCACCGCCGCCGCCGCCACCGCCACCTCCGCCACCACCGCCACCGCCGCCGCCCGTGCAGCAGCAACAGCAGCAGCGTCAGCACCAGCAGCCGCTGCTGCAGGAGCGGGAGCAGGAGCAGGAGCCGCCCCCGCTGAAACTGGAGCCGGAGGAACTGGCGACGGCGGACGCCAGCCTGGACGCTACGCTCGGCTACGTGGCCGAGTTCGAGGGCGGCTACGGCCTGCCGGAGCGGCCGCCTGCCGACGGTCAGTGCACCCGCGTCAACACGGACACGGACACGGATACGGACACGGACACGGACACGGACACGGACGCGGGCAAGGATACGAATCCGAATACGGATACGGATACTGACACGAACACGGACACGGACACGGACACGGACACGGACACGGACACGGACACGAACGCGAACGCGAACACGGCCAGGGACACTGACACCGTTAAGGACACAGTCACGGTCACAGTCAAGGACATGGTTGCGGTCAATGTTATGGTGAAGGACACAGTTACGATCAAGGACACAGTTACGATCAAGGACACAGTTACGATCAAGGACACAATTACGATCAAGGACACGGTTACGATCAAGGACACAGTTACCAGTCACTGTCGGGGACACTCTTAAATTGCTTGAAGTATTCCAGTCAACGTCCTGAGCCAGCATTCTGTGCGGCAATATCCTTAGTCGTTGCAAGCTGTTCTGGGTTGGGCACATGTAGGGGACAAGGGTTGGAGGGCATAGATGAACGGAAACTGGACGGGAGGGGGATAAGACACTCTGCAGCCGGGCGGTAAATAAGCCTAAAACCTCAATCGTGATAACTTTACACGCGATTGCAATGTTTTGTAGGACGGACCTTTTCATGGCTGGCACTATGTTAGCGCGTTAAATAGTCATGTAGGATGCGTGTGGGCTTTGGTATTCGGCGTACTCTTTATAATCATGAGCAGTAATCAGTCATTTCAGTCAGATGGAAGGCCCGGTTTGTTGTGCGTAATTGAGGAGGTGTATGCTTTTTGTCAGCAGATTTGAATAGAATCTGGCCATCTCTTCACACGGATCGATTCAAGCGCATTGGGCTGGGGGGGGGGGGGGGGGGTGGGGGGGTAAGAGGCGCCTCACTGCAGTTGACTTGAACTGATAATGCCTTGCGCATTTGGGGCATAGGAAAAAAGAGAAAAAAAGACGGCAACGTAGTCACCTCAACTCAAGTTGCCATGTCAGTGAACCGAACCGATTCAGCTTTTCCATTTCCGCAAAGGGGTTCAAGCTGCGCAGGTGGCAGCCTGGGCGTAAAATGTGATGAGCTGGAGAATGGCTCTCGGCGGTGCATTTATTTTCTGTTCAGGATCCTCTCGCACGTAATTCTATTTCTGCACACTTGGTAGGCAATCCGTACTAGCAGACCGGGTCGCGGGAGGGGAGCACTGATGGCGGCACTGACGTCATTGGATGATGACGCCATCAGCCGGCTTCACTGATGGTGACGTCATCGGACATCACCGTCAGTGGGGCTTGCGACAGACTTGTGTCTGTACTGGCGAGGATGCTCTGCTTTGGGAACAGTTCTACACGGCGGGCACGTGCATTAGCGAAATCCTGGGGTCTTATCCCGATCAGGCATGACTACAGAACATCCAGCAGTGCGACTGTGCCGTACACGTGTTTGTGGGGATGACACATCGTGGTCTTGTTTAAAGTGTAAAAGAGACGGGATTCCCTGCGTTGCATTCAGTGTTCATGCAGTATTAAGTGTCCATTTGCTAGTGTTCACAACACTGCAAGTGTGGTGAATTGATTTCATTCGGAGCTGCGTTAGTCTGTGACAATTCTTGAAACCAGTCTCAAAGAACGCTTAGTGTCATTCCATCACTGTACACATGCGCTAACAGGCTTCGCTGCCAATACGGCCGCCGACACCGCTCTGACACCGCTCCGTCCTGACATCGCTCCGTCCTGACACCGCTCTGACACTGCTCCGTCCTGACACCGCTCTGACACTGCTCCGTCCTGACACCGCTCTGACACTGCTCCGTCCTGACACCGCTCTGACACCGCTCCGTCCTGACACTGCTCTGACACCGCTCTGACACTGCTCCGTCCGCTGTCTGCAGCGCTGCCGGCGGCGGGACCCTCTCAGCGGCTGAGCGAGGACGGCAGCACCCCAGGTACGTCGCTGGCGCTGCCGTCGTCTCACGACGGGCGGCTTGGACTGTGCCGGCGCCCCCCCCCCCCCCGGGCCGCCCTCTGATCGCCTCCCCGCCCCCCCCCCCCCCTCCACTACGGCTGACAGATAGCTCACAGGCACTATTGGTTGAAATCTGCCGCATTCAAGGTGGAAAGCTTGTCTGGCGTCTGGCGTTTGGAGGCCTGCTCGGGAAAACTGGTCGCCGGGGCTCAAACGGTGACGAATTTCGCCCCGATACATTTTTGCCTCGCGCCGTCGTTTTCACTTATCGGTCAGTGTGGGTCGTTATACAAAGGTTCGAGAGCTAATTTGACCCTCTGTAGTATTGCACTTGTTGGGGCTGTTCAGGCCTTCACATGAAATGCAGCTGAGGAGTTCACAGGTGGTGATCGTACATTATATTCACATTTGACACTTTCAAAATCACTGGCACAAGTGATGGCAAGTTTTGCGGTGAGAGATTGTATCTCTGGATAGCCAGTTTATGTTGCTCTGTTACATCAAATTATGCGACATAAAATGCACGATTTTTCACGCGATCGTGGGAATGCGTTTCATGTATTGTGCTTCTCGTTCTTCGGAGCCACCTGCAAAAAATAGAACTGATCTCTAAACCTTTAAAGAAGCCGGGATAGCTTCGTGGGCCACGCAACATGTGTTTTCACTACGCAGCCGCGGGACTTTGTTTGGGTTTGGGCGATGTGGGGTGTGCACAGACGAGAAACTGGCACCCACACAGACTAACCATGATCATTGCAGGTCGATGAAAATGTTAGTTCTTCAACAGTTGGAGTTCGTATTAGAAATCGAATGGATATTTAAGGGCGTATCCGAGTACTATTCTACACGTACACTAGAATACTACGTGGTTCATTCAGACTGATATTTTTATGATGACCTAGGTTAACTGTGAAACGAACCTGGCTTGATAACTGTTTAGACCCAAGGAATGTATTACTATAGGATAAACATACTGTTGCAGCTTAGCAAACCACTCAGTTGCTTACGGATTTGTTGACAATTTGTTGGGCGATGGACGAAGATTGGAAGGATATTATCGATGACCAAGTAGGGCATTGGCCTCTGCGTCAAATGAACCAACAACGAAATAAAAGGTTGCTGGAATTTTCACAAAATGTCTGACGCCGTTTGATACGTTTCTTCATCTCTGTTGCTCAGAGCTGGAGCGAAGGGCGGCTTCCTTCCTCCCCCCGCCCCCCCCCCCCCCCCCCCCGGCCTCTCCGTCAGTTCCAATCGGGCGCGAAGTCCGCCAGCGCGAAGGGAAAGACAGTGTTACGAGCGGGCTGTGTCGGTGAAACTAATCCCTTGTTCCGACCGCCGCGTTCCCAGTCCGCTTCCTGCCAAAGGCTGTGGTGTTCTGTCGTCTCACACGGACCGACTGCGTGTAACTTCATGCTTTACATAGTGACGTCACCGGCACGGTCCACAACAGCTGGCCGCCAGGCATTGAAACGGTTGTCTACCGCATCCCTCTTCATGTAGCGCGGTAGCTTCGTGGTCTTTCATTTCGGCCGCAGTTATGCCCCCCCCCCCCGCTCCCCCTCTTCCCACCAGGCGGGCGCGTGGTAAACGACAGCTGATCCGACTTCGGTCACGCTGATGTAACGCACAGCTGCTATTTGGCGCGTTCTCTGTGTACAAACCGCACTTGTGACGCAATATCAAAAGGCCCGACTCGTGTCGTCGCATTTTGTTCCCACCGTTTTGCTTTGCCCCCCCCCCCGCGTTTGCCGAAAACCACCTCTTACACATCTAACCAGAGGCGTAGCCAATTGGGAGGGGGGGGGGAGCCCCCCTTGGAAGGGACGGCTAGGGTCTGGTAAATATCGCCGTTGGCCCTCAGGATAAGGTGACGGTGTTTCAGTAGTTGACCACTTTGGTGGCAGGGATGTAGATATTTTGTGGCATGCTTTGGCACCCCAGCTTGGGCTTCAGCGCCTGCTGCTCCCCCTTGCTCGAGATCTGTCAACCAGCATCGAACCAAGCGAAGGTCAGCCCAGCCTGTATGCGCCCCGGGCTTGCCAAATCAGCCCGGCAGGTTATATGTCACGGTTTGAGGTCAAATGGGAACGGGTCAGCAGCCAACGAATTGCGTATGGGGTGACTGCTGGAGAGCCATAACTCTGGTAGCATGGCTTTATATTTACCCCCCGCACACTCTAACGGATTAAGTTTGGAACGCCTAAAGGTCACGTCGCAACATTTGGCCTAAAGTCGCACTTCAAGCGCTGGCGTGCGATATCTAACCGAGGACAGAACCCGGTTAACTATCTGGAGAACTGTAACCCGGACCACCGGGGGTTTGTCTTCTTGGGATAGTTACCGAGTAAGAACCTCGTGGTGTTGTCATGTTGTGCTGTCTGTCATTTGTCGTCAGTGACAAAAGTTCTTATGACATATGATAATTGACAAAATCGTATGAAAAATGATAGTTGACAATTGTCATTGTCATCATGCATCGGTATTTATGGGCGTTAGCAGCAATGAATCAGTCAGCAAATCAATCAACTAGCAGCGGATCAGATCCGTTCCAGTCTCTGCGTGCAAAAAGCTCAAACAGCGGTGTTGGCTTGATGGCTTGGCTTGATGAAATGGCTTGAATTTTACTATAGACCATAGTGTGATTTCACTGTAGAACGTAGTGTCAACAACAAAATTCCATTTCTAGACTTTCTGATCATTTGATGTTCGACGCATTGGGTGACACGTTTCTCACAGGTGTTAACAGAACAGCCACCAACAGGGGTAAATGCATGTATAGTTGTGATGACTGTCCATATGCGTATAATAAATTTGTTATTTGTGCTCATGCCCGCAGGGCGTTGACAAATTGTTGTTCGTGGCGTGCGTTTGATGGGGGGCTAGATCGGGTGCCTGAAATATTCATCAATAGCATGCACATAAATACTGACTTTGACCACGTCACGGAGTCTACTCGATGCGTATCTAAAAAAACATACACACCACAACACCACGCTCGCCAACACACAAAAAAAAAACAAAGTGATGCCTCGGAACGGCCATAAGACATAAACACGTTTTTTACAAAAAAAAAATGCTGTGACATATTGAAAAGGCGTTGAAAACATTGCGTGACGTTGCCCTCAAACACCTACCCGCCCCCCCCCCCTCCCCCACTGATAAACGAAAAACGAAAGATTCATAATATTTTGCAAAAGACACAAAACATCTTCCCCAGTTATGAAAAATATCCTCAACAAAACCAGGGACAAGTTGATGCAGTCCAATGTGGTCTACTGACTCGAACGTTCTGATGGGGACTGTGAAACGCGTAGAGTACATCGGTCTGGCTACGTCTCCGACGTCTCACCGTACACTTACGGGAGGGTGCACAGAAGACCCACATGCGCACATGCCTGACCTCACTCATCAGAAATACATCCGTCATGCACACCACCATACTGACTCACATCACAGACCTTAGACTCCTCACTACCTCCTATGTCCCCCGTAATACTGTGACCGGACCAGTCATCTCTGAGCTTGGTACGACAAACAGATGGGATAGCTCTCAGCCGTATAGAAGTGCGCCCGTAATTAGATCATACGGCAGGTAAATGCTTTTTTAATTACTCAAGGGTGTATTTGGCAAAATGCGATGAAAACCAAGCTTTTAAATGTGCACTGCGTTAGATTGCACGCTTACAGTGTCATATTCTGGTAAGAAATTGATATGGAAATTACCGGATTGTTGAAAGATGAACTTCGGTAAAATCCTGTATCGGTGCATTGAAAACGACCAGCGAACCATAAGTAGTCCCGAACAGACGCCCAAGAAGGTCACACACGCTGAGTTTGCTATTGTATACAACCAACAATGAGTGTGTGAAAATCTGATCCCGAAACACTCCAATTTATATATATATAGTAAATGGGATGAAAAATATGTGATATATATGATACACAATGGAATTAAAATTGTATGATAGTGAAATCCCGTACTTATGATAATGTGAAAATTGATGATAATAAAGTATCGGATATATAACGCATAGATCTACGCGCACATATGGTATCTATAAGTATTCACAACTATTGATAACAGACAGGTGGGTGACGAGCACTTCAACTCGCGCCAGGTAACCAGAACTTTCCCGGGCTTTCTGAAGAGCCTTTTTGCGAGGAGTAGAAGCGGAGGCATTTGCTTTGAATCGATGGATCAATATTTTGTCATCCAGTGCGGATATGAATTCGGACGGCGACGACGAAATACTTTTGACGCAAGCTTGTATCTCCACATGCCCTGGTGAGTTGTACGCATCGCCTTGATTTCGCTAGGGTGTAGTGAAATTGCATGACATATGATAGCCAGTAAAACATGAGTGTCAATTCAGTCCCTGTGTTTGTGGACCCAAAATACTGTGAGACGTTTGAATTTGTTGGAATCTGGTCGGCAGACTGTAAAGCCGAACCAAGTAGGGAACTACAGCCAGTGAAGGAGGTAGGCGTGGAGTCAGCTTTCAAGTTTTGTGCCTTGTGAAATAGCCCAAACGCTAATCCTTGAATCTGTTGCTTTACTAAATCGTTGTAAAATACAAAGTACACATTTGCTCGGTTATTCAGTGCTTCAGACGCCATGGGCCCATCTATTTATGACGTCAACAGCGTGTTGATTTACCAGCGATTGATCACGTGGCATCATCATCACTCATCACACATCACTCGTCCGTATCATGAGAGCAAAAACTTGGTACAGGACATCGCTGCACCACTTCACAGTTTTGTCAGTATAACGCAAGTTGTTGGGTGCATTTGCGAGGAACATTATGCACAAAGATAGGACAGCAGTAGTAGCGTCATTCCTCGGAGAAAAACCAGGAGAATGAAGATATAGATGCGTTGATATCTCAGCGACATGCCTTTATCGAAACAATAGCAGAAGCTAATGATATTGCCTTTCCTATTGTCTCGATAAAAGCATGTTGCCAAAATATCAAC